ATCAGCATAATCAGCATCAGCATCATCAGCATCAGCCTCATCATCAGCCTTATCATCAGCATCATCAGCAGCAGCATCATCGTTTTCATCATCAGCATCATCAGCATCATCAGCAGCATCAGCATCAGCATCCGCATCAGCATCAGCATCAGCATCAGCATCATCATCAACATCATCATCATCATCATCAGCATCATCATCATCATCATCATCATCATCATCATCATCATCATCATCAGCATCAGCATCATCATCAGCATCATCATCATCATCATCATCATCATCATCATCATCATCAGCATCAGCATCATCATCTGTAACATCGTCGTCGTCAGAGGCAGCAGAATCATCAACCTCATCGGCATCAGCAACTTCAGCAGCAGCAGCACAATCGCTATCATCGTCATCATCAACACCACCACCATCACATTCATCATAATCGTCATGGCAATCATCATCGTCAGCATCCTTAGCATTGCCACCGTCACCAGCACGACCACCATCATCAGCAGGATTCAGCATCACAGACGTGATCAACAACGTCATCATCGTCATCGTCATCACCATCAACCTCAACACCATCATCATCGATCTGATCAACATCATCAGAATCAGCATCAGCATCAGCAGCATCATCAACATCGGCATCAGCGTCCGCAACAGCAGCTTCATCATCGTCATCATCATCATCAGCATCATCATCGTCATCATCATTAGAATCATCAGCAGCATCATCATAATCATCATCAGCAACAGCAACATCATCATCATCATCATCATCAGCAGCATCATCATCCTCATCATCATCCTCGTCACCATCACCAGCACCATCATCATCGCCACCAACATCATCAGCAGCATCATTAGCATCACCATCATCATCAAAAACATCATGTATCAACAACATAATTCACATAAACACCGTCATCATCACCAGCACCACTGTCATCGTCAACACCATCATCACCACCACCATCATCATCATCAGCATCATCATCAACATCAACATCATAATCATCATCACGTCATCATCAACAGCATCAGCATCAGCATCATCATCCCTTTCGACTTGCTCCTCATCCTCCTCGTGATGTTCCTCATCCTTTCTTACTCATCCACCTCCTCTTCATCCTTCGCCTCCTCGTCTGTTTCGTCTTCCTGCCCCGCTCCGCTGGCCCCAACCCCAAGACCGTCTGAGGACTACCAGGGCGCTTCCAAAGGGCCTCTCGCAAACTTCCAAGAGTTTCCCGCCACTTCCCAGCGCTTGCGGGAAGCTTGCTCAAGCTTCTGAAGGGCTTCTTGGAAGACTCCGGGCGTCCAAAAGCACAACCTGGGCCCTCCCAACGGCGACACCGACACCGACGACGACGACGACGACGACGACGACGACGACGACGATGACGACGACGTACGACGACGACGACGACGACGCCGACGCCGACGCCGACGCCGACGCCGACGCCGACGCCGACGCCGACGCCGACGCCGACGCCGACGACGACGACGACGACGACGACGACGACGACTACTACTACTACTACGACTACTACGACGTACGACGACGACGCCGACGACGACCACCACAACAACGACGACGACCACCACCACCACCAGACAGCCTCCGACCGCACCAGGCGCACGATGGCCGGGCGGAGCTCGGCCGCCAGCTCCTTGTAGCAGCCGTCCTGCGCCAGGGGGAGGGGAGCAGGCAGGATACGGGAGGACGGGTACCAGGAGGGGAGGAGGGGAGGAGGCAACTCCTGGGAGGTTTTCGTGGGAGCGATTGAGCCTGTGAAACCCGATGGAAAGGCCATTCAGCCAAAAACTGCCCCAATTAAGCCTTGGATGAAGCCTTGGGTTCAGCTGGATGAAGCCGCATGAATGGAGAGACTCTGCGGGATCGGGCTGGATTAGGCCAGCTTTCATCCGCGGATACACCAGCGCAGCGATGCTGAATTTAACCTCCCAGGAGTTGCAGCCTAAAAGAGGGAAGGGGATTCCAAACCTCCTCGCGTCGAAAAAAAATATTACGGGAGGTTTTCCATCGGTTTCGGCCTCTTGGGGCACTTATGGGCTCGGGGACCGTCCAAAAACCACGCTGTCGGTTCCCGGGAAGCGCTCTGGACCTCTGGGGAGACACGTTGTGAAGAAGCACGACGTCGGATGCCTTGGGAGGGGGTCGCGACGTGGGCGCAGGAGCATCGGGACGTAGAGCTGAAAGCAGAGGAGCACACGTGCGCCCGCGTGTGGGAGCACAGCGCTTGCTCCCGCGATGTTCCGCGGGGCGCGGAGGGGCACTCCGCGGCCGTGCCTCACCGACGCGGGGGCGCGCGCCTGGGGTCCGCTCGGGGTCGACCCCGCTCTCTTGCGCCGGGGGGGCGCGCTCGGGACGCACAGAGACATGCTAATACCAGATGTCCTCCTTGGAGGCGCGCGTCCGGCCCGAATATCTAGTATACGCATGTTGTAGCAGATCGTTTCCCGAGCGGCGTGGCCAGAAAGCGCCCGCCGCGACGCATATACCTAGAAGGCTTCTCGGTGTGCGCGTCTCCCCCCGTGGGGGGCGACGCACATATATAGTATTAGCATGCTGGGGCGACGCCGAGTGCTGGCCGTCGCCTTCTCCCTGGGCCCAGAGGGCCAAGCTGCCTGTGTGCCACGGGCCCGGTGGCCGTGGCGACTCAAACCCTCTGTCGCCCCGGGGCCTCGGGGGGTCGAGGTCGCCCAGGCTGCCCGGACTCCAGGAGTTCCACGGGCCACCACGGCGCTCTGGGCCCCCTGGACGACTCCACAAAAGGCGGTCGCAACATGCGATGTTACATGACGGTGCATCACAGTGCGCTGTGGCGCAGAGTCTGGAATGCAAGTGCGAATCAAGTTGTCGTGCTGTGCGATGCTGATGGCATGGAGTATGGACTGGTATCTTGACGATAAGGTACGGTCGGGAACTCTTGGCTAGCGTGTCGCGGCAACGGCCCCAGCAACACGCTGTGCACTGCAAGCGGATAGCGAGCCGCTCCGCTTCGTGGGGCAAAAGGCTGGGAAATTCTCAGGACTTTCACGCCTGCGAACTGGGACGTGGTTCTTGTGTCGCACCGAAGCGTTGCGGGACAGAAGAACCAGCGACGCAACCCACATGTTTGTAGGCACTGCGCCTGGTGTAGCGATATGATGTGACGTGCTGCGGTACAGATGATTACACAATGACTCCTTTGTGCTAACAGCATGCTTAAAGTCTGATACGTTGGGCTACCTATGACTACACGTACGCTCTAACAGACGGCAGTGTGGTCTAGCATGAGCTGTGCGATGCTGAGTTATGTTAGGCCTCACTGTGCGTTGTCATGCTACGTTATGATGCACCACATGATGCTCGGGTTGAGGCTGTGGCCACAAGCTTTAGGCCGAAGTCCTTGGCGTTGGGCGTTTTATGATCCCGAATCCTCAGGGCTCCAGCCCTTCCCAAGGGCTCAAATCTCGGGCTCAATCTCTGGCCCAGGACGAAGGCTTCGGCATACGCTGAGTCAGTTTGAGGCTGAGGCCTGAGCAAGGGGCAAGAGCAAGAGGCTAAGGCCAAGGGTTTGGCCGCAAGCCGAGGCATAGGCGTTCCCTAGGCTCAGGCAGTGAGCTCAGCTATGAAAGGACCAAACATATGAGAGAGCGTGATCCACCGCCGCTTTACTGTGGAAAATTGCCAACCTTTTCCTCCGGAGCCCGGGGGTCGCCCCCCCCCCCTCCGAAAATCCCCCCCCCCCCTGCTGGAACCCCTCCCCCCCCCCCCCCCCCCCCCCCCCCCCCCTCCCTCCCCCTAACCCCCCCTCCCCCCACCCCCCTCCCCCTCGAAAGCCGGGGGGGGTCACTACCGGTTCGAACCCCCCCACCCCCCTCCGGATCCGGAAAACCGGGGGGGGTCACTACCGGTTCGAACCCCCCCCCCCCCTCGAAAACCGGAGGGGGATCACTACCGGTTCGAACCCCTCCCCACCCCCCCACTCACCGCCAGCAAACGACTCCCGGTCCCTACCACCGTCCGCATCACATCCTCCACTGTTGTTCCCAGCACCACTGTCCTCACCACCACTGTCCCCACTGTGTCCCCACCAGTGCCCCCACCACTGTCGCACTGTCCCCACTGTCCCCACCACTGTTCCCACCACGGTTCCACTCTCCCCACTGTCTCCACGGCCCCAACCACTGCCCGACTATCCCCACTGTCCCCACTGTCCCACTGACTCCGCCGCTGTCCCACTGAGCTGTCCCACTGTTCCCACCACTGTCCCCACTGTCCCCACCACTGTCCCCATTGTACCTCTGTCCCATTGTCCCACCGCCGTCCTCGCCACCGCCTTCACCACTGTCCCCACCACCATTGTACCCTCCACTGTCCCACTGTTTCCACCTCATTCCCACTGTGCGCACACCACTGTCCCCACCACCACCGTCCCCACCACTGTCCACTGTCCCCCCTGTTCCCACCATTGTCCCCACCACTGTCCCCACCACTACCGGCCCTCTACTGTCCCACTGTCCCACTGTCCCCACCACTGTCCCGCTGTCCCCTCACCACTGTCCCACCAACACCGTCCCCACCTCTGTCCGCACCCCCACTCGGTTTTCGAAGGGGGGGGGGGTTCGAACCGGTAGTGACCCCCCCCCTTTTCATGATGAGCTGGGGGGGGGGGGGAGGGGTTCGAACCGGCAACGACCCCCCCCCCGGTTTTCCGGAGGGGGGGGGGGGGGGAGAGGTTCGAACCGGTAGTGACCCCCCCCGGTTTTCCGCCAGCAGCGGTAGAACACGTTCTTTCAAACATATCAAAGCACTGCGATGTGTACTTGATCTAGCCAGAAAGAGACACGCACCAGTGAGCGAGATAGTACATCTGGCCTGGTGTCAAGACAGCTGACGTATCAGTGAAGATCCTTGCCATTCAGCCAATCGAGTAGCATCCACCGCTGCGTGGCCTGCCTCCCCAGCAGGCTGTGCGGGCCGACCTCGTCACCTCGACGCGCGTCTAGACACCCAGAGGGTGCGGGAAGAGTCTGAACAAAAACCGATGAGTACATATGCACAAACAGTCAATGGCAACATCCACGATACAAGTAGAAACGCCATGTCCAACAACAGCCATGTGCAGACTGTCTGGTCTCCGTTGCTCGCGTGGCATCCCTGACCGTCACCACCTGTGGCTACTCCTTGGAAGGGTGTGTACCAGATCCCTTGCCTGCAACATGGAGTTGTCGGGACTGGGAAGAGGACGGAGAAAGAGAGAGAGGAAGAACCTAGGAGGGGGCTAGGAGGGGGAGGGAGAGAGGAAACTAGCAGGGGGAGGAAACTAGGAGGGGGAGGGAAGTAGGAGGACTAGGAAACTAGGAGGGGGAGGAAGAAACTAGGAGGGGGAGGGAGAGAGAGGAAGAACCTAGGAGAGGAGAGGACGGATGGAAGGGGGAGGGAGAGAGGACGGAGGACGGAGCAAGAAAGGGAGGAGGAAACCAAAAGTCAGGGGGACCAGCGGGAGGGAGGAGGACTGAGGACGGCGGCCCGAGAAGTCCCCACGAGACCCGCCAGAGAGGGCCCAAAGCCCAGAGACCCCCGAGAGCACCCCACGTGAGGCCCAAGGCGGGAGGAAACGACCTGCCCTTTGAAGCCCTTCACCCCAGGGATGGCTCCCGAGCCCTACCCTTTGAAGCCCTTCACCCCAGGAGGGGGAGGAGGGAGGAGGAGGGAGGAGGGAGGAGGGAGGAGGAGGAGGAGGGAGGAGGTTGGCTCCCAAGCCAGCACGCAGGCCCTCCGGACGCCCCCAGGAGGCCGCCGACAGGCCCCCAGGAGGCCCCCAGGAGACCCCCCAAGAGGGAGGGGCTCACAAGCTCCCCAGGAAGCCTCCAGGAGGCCCCCAAGAGGCCCCTCCAAGAGGCCCCTCCAAGAGGTCCCAATAAGCATCCAAGAGACCTCGTGTCCTCTTGTATGGGAGCGTGTTCTTATTCGGCGTTTCGACGTTGGGCGGAGGGGGGGGGATTGGGGGGTCTGGCTCAGGACCTCTGCTTGGTGCGGCTGTTTGGAACAGTGCGTCCATTATGGGGGAGACCCCATCTGCACGAAACAGGCGCGGCGCCAAAAACAGCCAAGATCGACTCCAGGGGGGGGGAGGGGGGCGAGGGCTCGCGCCGATCGGCAAAACAATGAATAAAAACGCTCACATTGGGACGGCTCGAAGTCCGAGCTGCGAGGGACGCTCCGATCGAGAAGACCCAGAGGAGGAAGAACACGTATGACAGATGCCTCAATGAAGACAACAGCAATCACGACACCACAAATACAAATACATTTCGCCGACCCCCGCTTGCCCGGAGTGAGCGGGCGTAAGAGATGTTTGGCTGTCCCCGTCCCCGTCCCCGTCCCCGTGCCCTGTATGATTTTGCGTGATGGCCGTCACCGGGCCCGCCCCACCCACCTTCCCCCATAGGTTGGTGACGTAACAAACGGCGCTGGCGGGGTCTGGGAACGACTGCGGATAACGAAAGACCAGACCCCGCTAGTACAAAACGTTCGGTCACTGGGACCACCTTCCATTTGGAGTGAGGCAGTCACGAGCAAGAGCCACATGTTGAACAGAACCGCAATCAATCCTTGAAACTGCTGCAACGCTGCAAAACAACTACGCGAGAGCATCATGTTGAAAAAGACCTGTGTTCAATACTTAAGTCGAATATGCTCGGTACCAAGTCGGGAGCACGACTGCGAAAAGGAACCGCCCTGGATCTCCGATTGCGCTACACCTTTCTAACACGAATGTGCGCGGCTGGACAGCGAGAGCGCCACTATGAAAACGGTACCCCGTCCATCCTTGAAGCTGTTGCAGTGTGGCGCTGAGGCGAGAGCCAGAGTTCAAAGACGAACTGCGCTCCATCCTTGAAAATCAGCCACCGTGCAGAGCTGGCGTGCCCTCAGGTCCTTTCCGCAAGGGCTCCCAACTTCGCGCTTCGCGCTCCGCGAAGCGCGAAGCGCGAATAACTTCGCGCTCTCGCGCCGCCCTCCCAAAGGGAGAATAGGAGGACGAGGAGGAGGGGGAGAAGGAACGAGGGCCGCGAAGCGCGAAGCGCGAATAACTTCGCGCCCTCGAGGGAGCCCTTGCAACCCTCACGCCTTCAGGGTCCGAAGAAAGGCCAAAACCACAAATTCACAAGTCTCCCGGGGCGTGCCGCGTGCCCCCCAAAGGCTTCCCGCGTGCCCCCCTGGGCTCCCCCGCCTCGTGTCGTGTGATTTGCTGTGGGCCAAGAGAACCTCGAGAACGGTCCAAGAGGGCCCCGGGTCGACGAAAGATCGCCCCAAGACGCGCAAGATGCCCTCAAGACGACCCAAGAGGCCCCCAACACGCCCAAAGAGGCCTCCCAAAAGGCCTCCCAAGAGAGAGAGAGAGAGAGAAGCCGTGCACGTCAGAGGTGCATTGGCAATAAAAAAAGTGTGTGAAACCACAGCGATATGCGATGCGAAGCCTCTGGCGTCGCTGGCTCCATCCACAGGGAAGGCTTGCCAATGTCGTCATGCATACCCCGCTCGCCAAAATCGCACCCCGCAAGGTGCACGACCCAGGAGAGCAACCGCAATTTTTTGTTGATGATGACTCCTGCTCCGCTCTCTCCGACCGGGCCGCTGACAGAATACAAACATGTAGCTGTTTATACCCGACAGCTCCGCTGACGGGAAAAAACACCGAGCTGTTTATACCCGACAGCGCCGCAGACGGAAAAACGAGCACCTAGCTGTTTATACCCGACAATTCCGCTGACGGGAGGAGGAAGAGGAGGAGGAGGACGAGGAAGGGAGGGAAGGAGGAAAACGACAGCACGATAACTGCCACGCCTGGAAGGCCCAGCTGGCCAAATTAAGAGCACCGGTCCACAAGGACATCCGGCGCGCAGGTAAGGAAAAGGTGGGGGCGCAGGTCCCGCAACCGCAGCAGGGGGGCAGAGGAGGGAACGACACCCGGGGTCAAGGGCGAACCCGGAGCCGGGGGGAGGAGGAGGGCAAGCGACAGAGGACGACAGGGGGAGGGGGAGGAGGACGAAGCCCAGGGCGACAGCCCTAGGGACGAGCAGGAGGGAGAGCGGGCAGAGGAGCGACGCAGGACGGCGGAAGAAGGAGCGAAGACACCACCTGGAGGGCAGGCGGCGGGGGCCGAGTTTTCGCAATTCCTCCCTAAAATCAAACATAAAAGTCATACAAATCATAAAAATCATACATATCCGCATCATAAAACTCGCATGCCAAAAAACAATCAAACGTTCTGCCCTTGATGCCACAACGCGTGCAACGTTTCCTCGCCGCCGGCCGTCTGGCAAGCAAGGTCGTACACCTGAAACTTCCACGCGTTGCGGGGCCGCCCCCTGCGGCGAGACCCAGCCTGCGCGAGCTCGAAAGTGCCGGGTTGGAAAATGCACCTGCGCACGGGGCTGTTCCCTGGCATCAGGGCAAGTTGCCCCAGGAGTTTCAACTGCCTGAGCGCCAGTACGTCGCTCAGCTTCTGAACGCCACATCGCTGTAGAACAGTTTCGTCGCTTATGCGGCTTATGTACGAGTGCTTGATGCCCGAAATCTGGCGCAGGCAACGCACCTGAAAAGCGTCAATCCTGCCGCGCTCTGCTTTGTTAAACCAAACAGTGTGTAAACAATATAGCACTTTGGATACTACACACGCGTCAAAGACTGCTAGCTTTTTGTCGAGGGACAATCGAGCGTGCTTCCACAATTTGCACAGCGCCTCAAAATCGGCGCTGGCCATGCCTAGCCGGCGGCTGAGTTCAGGCCCGCTCCGACCCGTGGAGCTCAAGAGTCCTCCTAAGTAGACCATGCTGTCCTTGCTCGGGATGGGGGCGCCGTCTGGCTTCGTCAAGGCAGTCTCGCAACAGACAGGTAAAGCTTCCAGCTTGCTCCAGTTGAAGGCAAGCCCGTAGTTGGACCCCGCGCAGTGGATCGCCCCCATCAGCCTGGAAACATAATCATCACTGACTCCAACGACAAGGGCGTCGTCGGCGGAGATGAGTTCACTAACGGGTACCCGGGCGTCTTGCGTCATGCCGCGTGCCTGGAAAGCCCGGCTCGCACCGGGCATGAGGACCGTCTTGACGATTGAGAACAGGAACGGCGATAGCGGGCAGCCTTGGCAGACGCCGAGGGCTTGTGGCCATGGCCCGGACGTCGGGCCCGCCCCCCTCACTCGAAAAGATCTGTCCGTGTAGATGGCCCGAACTGCGTCTGCGAAGCGCCCGGGGATGCCGAAGCGGACGAGCGCCTGCACCAGGGCGGTCGGCGAGACGCTGTCAAACGCCGCGGCCCAGTCCAGCGCCAGCAGGATCAGCTTGCCAGAGCGGGAACCCCAGGTGTCTTTAATCAATCTGCGAGCAACGAACAGTGCGTCCGCGGTGCCGCGTTTTGATCGGAATCCGAACTGCGCGTCCCAAATTCTGTCTTCGGCACCTGCGTCCTTCCAGCGGCCGAGGAGAACCATGGCGTACAATTTGTACCCGATCGGAAGCAATGATATTGGCCGATGTTGGCCGATAATTAGCACACTCGGCCGAGTCGCCTTTCTTGAACAGCGCGATGACGACTGCTTCGTGCCACGCATCCGGCACGGCCTCATTCGGTCCACACTTGTTGCACATCAGTGTGGCCCACTCGAGAGCCGAGGTACCTGGCGTGCAAATAACCTTCCAGAACTCCCCCGGAACGCCGTCGCCTCCAGAAGACCTGTTCCTGCTCAGCTTTCGCGCAGCATTGCGAACCTCCCCCGGGAGAATGGGGCCTTCTGGGACTGTGAGAACTGCTCCTATAGGGGCGCATTCGACATCTGTCACGGGTAGAACAGCCCATTGAACTCTGGAAAACTAATCAGCGAGCGCGACTGCCCTTTGATCGCTGTCAACCAATCTTCCGCTCGAGTCCTTCATGCGGCCTTGCCGCGCCACCAAACCTTTCCGCAGTTTCAGGATCTCGGCCCAATTC